CTGCGGGGGGTGCTACGGGAATTACGGAGGGCTGGACTCACCGCCAACCCTCGCAAATGTCACCTAGCGCTCTTCGAGGCGAAGTACCTGGGGTTTCAAGTGGGACGCGGCCTCATAAAGCCCCAGGAAAGAAAGAGGCAGTGCACGCCGCCCCGAGCCCCAGCACGAAGACTCAGGTACGAGCTTTTCTAGGGTTGGCGGGGTATTATCGCTGCTTCATCCCTAACTTCTCCTCGATAGCCGCCCCTCTGACAGATCTGACCAGGAAGGGGCAGCCAGAGCGAGTAGCCTGGAACTCTGAGGCTGAAGAGGCGTTCCAGGGAGTGAAGCGAACGCTCACTTCCGAGCCGGTCCTGCGCGCCCCGGACTTCGGCTGCCCCTTCCTGCTGCAAACGGACGCCTCCGAAGTAGGATTGGGAGCGGTCCTGTCTCAAATCCAGGACGCTGAGGAACATCCCGTGTTGTTTATTAGCAGGAGGCTGACCCCACCCGAGAAAAATTATGCTACCGTGGAGAAGGAAGCTCTGGCGGTTAAGTGGGCAGTCCTGGAGCTGGGTTATTACCTCCTCGGCCGCAAGTTCACCCTCATAACGGATCACGCACCCTTGCAATGGATGGCCCGGGCTAAAGATACCAATGCCAGGGTGACATGGTGGTTCCTCGCGCTCCAGGACTTCCACTTCGTTGTCCACCACCGCGCCGGAGCAGCCAACGCCAATGCCGACGGCCTGTCAGTGTGACGAGCGTCCCAAGCTCACATCAGCGTTGCCCTGGAAACGGAAGAGGAACACCTGCACGTGCTCATACTCTCCCAGAAACTGAAGTCTAACGTGTTCTCTCCTTTACCTTCCAGAAACCAGCCCGTGACCAAGCAGCCCAAACACGAGTGCCACACGGACTCACAGACACTGGAACTCACGCACGGAGGAGCACCGACTCACGCACGGAGAAGCACCCACTCACCTCAGGACACCGCAATCACGGGAACACTTTACCTGTGAATAAATCCACCCTCCGGGGTATTTATTTGAGCTCTCCTTGTCGCATGTTCCTTCCACCCCGTTACAATATATTTGTGTTCAGCAGAAGAAAAAAAACCTCATACATTAATATTTGTATTTAGCAAGAATGCATTGATTTTAGTGACAGTAAAGACTTTTGTAATATTGCCATTTCAAATAAATGCTGTTTAGTTGAACTTTCTATTAATCAAATAATCCTGAATAAATGTATCACGGTTTCCACAAAAATATTAAGCGGCAAAACGGATAATAATAAGAAATGTGTCTTGAGCAGCAAATCATCATATTAGAATGATTTCTTAAGGATCATGTGACAGTGAAAACTGGAGTAATGATGCTGAAAATCAGTTTTGCCATTGCAAAATAAATAAATAAATGAAAATTAAAAAATAAATAAAAGAAAATATTAAAATAGAAAAATATATAAATTGTAATAATAATAGTAACTGTAACTTATTAATCCCAAAACTCTTAATGGTAGCCTGTACAGTATATAAATAATAAATAAATGAATAGAGCAAATCTTACATTTTTAATGGTTCTGGTTTCTAGCTTCTACAATGATTTTAATGAGATCAGAAGTAGAAAACTGGCCAATGTAAATAGGTAGGTAGTATGATTTGCTCTTCAAGAAACTAGATGTACTCAACCATAATATGCCTGCATGACACACTGACCCTCCTTACAACACTTTCATTTCAACAGCAAAAAACATTCTCATTAGATCACTTGTGTCCTGCTTCATACATATCAATATGCATTTTCCTCCTTTCCATCCTTTATCACATTCCTTACTTAATTTTTTGTATAAAGTCATCAAGCATCTTTGAGTTGTAAAGCGTGCTGCTGTTTTGCCCGAGGACAAGCCTGTTCCAGATTCAAGGAGGAATGCTGATACGGTTGAATTATTTAGAACGGCGTTCAGGTAAATGCCCCTGACAGATAATAGGAGAATGATGACCTGACACAATCTCAGGCGCCTGTTGGCACGCGGCGTATCAAAGACACATCAGGCCTGACAGGATGTGCTTTCATGATGATACCCAACTGGGATTTACAATACTCCATCCTTCTGAATGGAGAGAAGCACCTGAAGAATGCACCCATCGAGAGCAGAGAACCAAAGATTGAGAAGAAGAAAAAAAATGCTTCGAAGGTTTGAGCTCCTGTCAAAAGCTGATGTCTTCAGAATTTTAATGGCTGATGTTTGTGGTGGAGTGTTTAACTCAAGGGAAACTTTGTCTTCTGTTTTTGAAAAAAGAGAAGATGTCTGAGGAACAAAACTCCTGCTCTTCCTGCTGAAAGGACATGGGAGAGACTTTTTAAGGTGTTGAAGTGCTTTGTCTGTCTCTAGAATCCAAATTCATGAATTCATACAAAAATATGGCTTTTGCAGCTGTCATCTGATGAGGCGGGAGCTCATGCCAAAGTGTATTTTAATGTGTAAACAGTAAAAAAAAATAAATAATAATTTTGGCCCATTTCACACATGGTATTTAATATAAGCATAAATAGGCTCCAAAATGTTTTGTGCTCCAATGTTTCAGGGACAGATTTGGCCTCATCTGAGCTGTAAACACAAATGCATGTGTTACAGACCAAAAAATAAAACATAAAACTAATTTACTCATCTGTCATGCAAACTATTCAGCTTTAAAAAAATAAAATGCTGATCATTTTTAAAAGTAAATGTAACTTTTTGCCTAATATCACAAAGTACAAGATTAAGTGGCTGACATGCATATGACAGGAATTCAACTGACATTTAAAAATATCATGTTTGTGGTAAGATTACGATTTTCAAATTAAATTTTGATTAAGTGAAGTTATTCATGGTCATATGAATCAAAATTAAATCAAGAGAAAAACTATTTATAATGACAAACAATGTATTATTAAATCATTATTCATTTACTTAATAAACATTTAAAATCTACACAGACAGACAAAATGGCCCAAATAATAACATTTTTGTAATAGCAAAAATAAAAAAAAAATTGCCTGATTTGCATTTAATGACAAAGACATTTGAGCTTTGTTCAAGTGAGCGATTTATAGTTAAAAATCCAATAAAAGATTGGATAATAAATAAAAGATCCTAATCATCATCATAATTTTATAGATTACAGCATTGCAACAGTAAAATGTCCAATGGAATATTTTTGTTTGAAATGAGATCATGTGATCAAAAAGATCACGACACACCATGCAGAAAGAGTTTAAAATGTAATATTTGCAGGGAGATTATTTTCCAAATATAATATTAATATGGGGCAATATAGTGGTGTATAATGTTGTATCGTCGGACTAAATCAAAAATGTAAAATTAAATGAACTGAACTAGATACATAAATCAGAGACACAATCACAAGGAGACCCATCTGAGATGCAGGACAGTCATATGGCATTATGGGTAAGTACCAGGGTATTTTTCGATGTCACAGTGTTACGCAGTACTACCAAATGTAAAATAGTCCACTGAACACAACAAAAACACACACCCTTTCACTCTCACACATCTAAAGATCGAGTGTGTTATTATGACTTTACCTGACTCTGATACCATCTAACAGACGACGGTGAGATAACGGTGAAATATGGATGCATACACATATGATATATGTGTGAGAGATGGTTGGGATTTAATGAAAAAGCACTCTGGACTCGTTGGGTCAGACTTGTTTACCTCTTCTGTCACAGAGTGGCACTTTCATCTGTCCTCTGCTCTAATTGGATGCTCTGCTTCGACTCTCATCTTTCGAGCATGGTTACCTTACCCACACACAAACACGCCAACACACTCACTGTAACGCCAGGCAAATTCATCCACGTGTTTACCTCTCGCGCTCATAATGACAGCTATTTCTGTGGCTACACAGCTGTTTGCATTTGAAAGCTGGGTTCTCCTGAAAACACTTCCTGTAGCTTCCTACTGACACGGATGCGGCTAAACCTGTTGTACACAATCAGACTCTCCATTGAATATTCTGTCATCATTTACTCACCCTCGTGCTGTTGCATTTCAGCCGTTTGTTACACAAAAGCTATCATATGACTTCAGAAGACTTTTTTAAGGACTACAATGGGGGTTTTGAGACCAATACAATAGTCAAAATTGAATTACACTGAACTTCATAGATTTGGAACGACATGAGGGTGATAGGTAGGTAGGTAGGTAGATAGATAGATAGATAGATAGATAGAGACAGACAGACAGACAGACAGACAGACAGACAGACAGACAGAGATGGATGGATGGACGGACGGACGGACGGACGGACAGACAGACAGACAGACAGACAGACAGACAGACAGACAGAGATATTGGGAATTATTACAACATCATCATCATCATTATTATTATTATTTAAACAAAACAAACAAACAAAGAAATAAACAAACACATAAATACATACATAAATAAATATTGAGGATGATTACAGCCCAAATCTGCTTATTTTTGTAACAGTAAAATGCCCAATAAAATAAGTATTTTGGTTTGCCTTTTTTGCATGCAATGACAAAGATCATGTGATCATGTGAATTTTTCATAGTTAGAAATAAAGGTATTTACAACTAGTGTTTTGTTATTTGTTATAAATTCGATTATAGTATTTACTTCATATTTTGGTTTTATTTTTATATTTTCAGTTTACATGTTTTATTTTAGTCTAGGTTTTAGAAATCTGGTTATGTACATAATTTTTTATGTTTCTATTTAGCTTTGATATTTATTTTTATTTCATTTTTCGTTTTAGTAATTTTAGAACTTCAATATATATGTTGCCTGAAATAAGTTTGTCATCTAATATTGTTTTATTATTTTGATTTCATTTAATTATTTCAGCTTGATTTCAATTATCACAAACATTTCTTAATAGTTTTAGATTTGGTTGTAGTTAATAACAATGCTGCTTTTCTCTGAGATGGATATCAAATACTGAAATCAGACGGAGCGTCTATAGAGGTGAAGGATACTTCCCCGGCGGCCCCGCTGCCACTCTGTAGTTGCTGTAGCTGTTGGTTGGGTGGAAGTTGAAGATGAAGATGACGTTGGCCCTCTCGAAGACGATCACCTTGTCTCCCTCGTGTTTGACGCTGATGTAAGCCTATAGAGAGACAGAGATCAAAGATTGAGACTTGTGGGATGGCATGAGATTTGTGTGCTTTTAATCACACGTGTTCTGTATCTCAGCCTCTGCATGTTTGATCGTTAGCAGTAATGTTGCGGTTCACATCTGTACAGATATTGTTGAAAATCCCACTACGTTTTGTACCCTGTGCAAGAACTCATTCCTAATCATCCCGATGTTATTAAACCACTGTTCTGCAAGATGGGCTTTGATGATGGACTAAATGAAAAATACAATACAAATAAAATGAGCGTCAATAAATAATGATAAAATGAACTCCACAATTAAATATTTTAATAAATATAAAATGCAATAAAAATGTAAATAAATAAATAATGCTTTTTAGTTAATTAGTGCAAAATAAATACTTATGAGAACACAATGAGAAGTGAATACATTCTTAAAAGTAAAGGTAAAAAGAACGTTCTTTTGTGTAAAATAAATACATAAATAAGTAAATAAATAAATAACATTAGGTAATTTTTCCATTGGGATCTACTATTTTAAACAAAATCTATTTATAAATAAACAATATTTATTTATAAATAAAAGGCTTAAAGGAAGTCTCTCACTGCACTGAAGTTTCATAGTATGCAAGAAATCTCATTTGGCTTAATAAGAATAAATTAAATAAAAGATAAAAGACAATTAAGGAAGAGACAACAGAAATGGAGAAATACATTAAATGTATTCTACTTATTTTACTTTATTTATCAATCTTGTACATACTGAAAACGAAAATACTTACAATTTTAAAAAGATTTCTGATTTATGTTCATGTATATCTTATACATAATCTTAAATAAATAAACAAACAAACAAACAAATAAATGTAAATAAAATTAGTGCCAAATACATAAAAAAATGTCATTCTTGTACATGTACTGTATATCTCATATAATCTCTTAAACATAAATAAAGATAAAAATAAATTAAAAGAGTGCAAAATTAATAATAAAAAAAAAGATTGTGAAAGACAATATTTGTACAGATTTATGACTAAGTAGAAAAAAGAATAAATTCATTATGTAAAAATAAAAGGAAACAATTAATTATCTTTCCTTTGTGATTGATTTTTTTTTTTTTAAATAATTATAAATTTTTTTTTAGATGCAGTATATTGGAGAATTGATGGCCCAGATGAGCTTATTTTCGGAACCGTAAAATTTCGAATAAAATAAATATCACGAAGCAAGTCGAATATTTTCAAAGGATCCATCCCCTGAAGATCTTTCTCCCTACAAAACACAGACCCTTCAAACTACTCAAACTCCAAACTTTTGAAGTGCGGGACTTTTTTTTTGTTATCCAACTGAAATCCAGAGATGACACTCTTGGGGCAAAACTGGAGCTGACTGTCAGCAGCAGAGGACTGCCAATGATTTAGCTGGTTTCCAGCAGCAAGACAAGTCTGTAACGTGCCATTACCAGAGATTATCAATGTCACTCTGCCACACTATTTTTAGTGGTCCAGACCCTCCGCCAATTTGGGAACTGAATACGAAAGAGAGATAAGAAACGCTCGTATTGAACAGAGAAGCCATCCAGATGAAAGAGCCAGAATTCAGCATTCTTTTTCTTTCATATTTAGCATGGGCAATAACTGCTCCATGGGCATATTTAGCCTTAGTAAGGGCAAAATGATTATAAATATGTGAATTATAAAAAAAAAAAAAAAAAAAAGAATTCATTACAGGGCATGGTAGCAATATAACAACAAAAAATATTACATTATTGTCAATTATGGCTTTTGATTTACAAACCTCAGAATTCAAGCACCCTTCAAATGTATGTCTTTATCTAAGCCAGTATCTTCATTTGCTTTTAAAATGTGCAGTAAGCAACAGCTACAACTGTGCTTTAATTTTTTTTAGCCCCTCATTAATCAAAACACTCATGAGCACTGGTCAGTCCGAAAGACCACCCTTTCATTTTTCATTAACAGTTTAGTCAGTGTGGATTTAAGCACATAATTCTAGCCCAAAATATTTTTCTAGCATTTTCCTTCACCTTCACATGCAAATATTTTGTATAGTTAAGAAAGCAAATTCACTATTAGTCATTTGTAAAATACAAGGATCGAAGGAAAGAATACATCCGGTTCCAGTAGCTGTTCGTCATTCTGTGTAACCGTAACATGAGTCTTGCATTTTGGAGGAATTTACTGTAAATAGTGTAGATCTGAGGGGTTACATTTTCATCGACATGGCTGGCACAAAAGCAGATCCTTTGAAGTGAAGTGAGGTGGTGAGGCAATGCTCTTCATTGTCATGATATACTGGCGCGAAACTGGTGCACAGGAGATAATGTGTGCTATGGAGTGCTGGAACTATATCCCTTAGTGCATACACAAACAGCTTTAGTGTTTTAATAGAGTTTCCCATCATGCCTGGTTTCATTTCATAGCTAAAAGTATGCTTAGGAATAAGGTGATCTCAATGGAGGGACATGAGTGTCCACAAAAAGCTAATGAATCACAGGGTTGGAAGTTTGCTACATTTTTATGAACCGGTAACGCTTCAGCTGTTTTAAGCAATATAATCTTAAGATATTTAAGTAAGAAAATATTGACCAAACAGCAACCAGGGGCTAGAGCTATCTGTTTTATACATTTTAACAATCCATTATCAACTATTCTGGAAAAAAAAAAAAAAAAAAACGTAGTGAGGCCATCTAAAGAAATAAACTTTGTTGTTATATATTCACTGTATTTAAATAATTCATACTGTATTTTATGTGCCATTGTGGAAATTTTATTCAACCTAGATCCTTAAAAATTAAGCCAAACATCAATATATAATCAATACAAATTTTCTTGAAAACATTGTGCACATTTAGTGGTTGTGCAGCATTATTAAAATTTGCAGAGAACTATGTTTATTGCTTTTAATTTTAGTACTGAATTTAAATTAGGGGAATATGTACACAACCATTTAAATGTTGTGTATAATAAATAAATAAATAAATAACTAAATATATATATAT